ATTCCTTTCCCTGTTCCCTCAAATTCCACATTTCCAGCTCTGAGGACCAGCAGAGGGGAGGATGGTTTTGCTTAGGCAACCTAATTCTGTGCATGCGCAAATGGAGTTTTGAGCACTCGTCCACCACTTGCATGGCCTAGTTTCCAAACAGGCCACAGACTGATAGTGGTCCACAAACCAGTAGTTGGGGACCCCTGCTTTAGAGGCTTGACAGTCTAAACACTGTAATAGGGCAGGCTTCTGAGTGGCCCAACTTACAAAGATAAGATAAGATAAGATAAGATAACCTTTATTGTCATTTTTATACTGTGGGCACAATGGCACACATCAAAAATGAAATTTAGTTGCCCGCTCTCAAAGTGAAACACATACATGACACACACCTAAACATACTATGAACAACATATGTATAGACCCACATCCCTACATATATATAGCAAATAAATATTAAATATTGTCCATCTTGAATATATAACGGAAGGAGGAAGCTTGAGAGTTTGCAAGGTTAATGCTGTATGGAATGAAACTCTGGCTGAATCTGGATATTCTGCTTCGGATACCACGAAGCCTCCTCCCAGAAGGGAACAAGGCAAACAGGTGTAGTGTCCCAGATAATCTTATGGACCCTGCTCAAGCAGTGCTTCTGTGCTATGTCCTGGATGGGAGGGAGGGAACTGCCAATGATCTTTTTGGCCATTCTCACCACTCTCTACATCGCCTTCCTTTCTGAAACAGTGATGCCTCCAAACCAGACTGTGATGCTGTATGACAGGATGCTCTCGATTGTCCCCCTGTAGAAAATGGTCAGGACAGGGGAAGGAAGATGTGCTTTTCTCATGCAGCGCAGAAAATGCAGGCGCTGCTGTGCCCGCTTCACCAGTTTCTCACTGTTGAGCGACCAAGTCAGCCTACTCGTTAGCTGCACACCCAGGAATTTGATGCTAGTAACCATCTCCACAGGTGAATCATTTATGCACAGAGAAGTGTGGCTGTGCCTGCCTTTTCTGAAATCTTTGGTTTTTCCAGTATTTAAAACTAGGCTATCTTCCTTACACCAGTTCACCAACCCTTCAACCTCCTTGCGGTAAGCTTCCACCTTGTCATCCTGAATAAGGCCCACTACTGTTGTATCATCTGCAAACTTCACAATATGGTTGGTGGCAAACCTAGCACAACAGTCATGGGTCAACAGGATGAACAGCAGCGGACTTAAGACACAGCCCTGAGGAGAACCTGTGCTCAAGAAAATGGTATTAGAGGTATTTGTTCCAACTCGCAGATATTGGGGCCTGTTGGTAAGAAAATCAAGAATCCAGTTGCACAAAGGAGTGTTTAAGCCTAAAAGGCCCAGTTTGTCTACTAGATGCTGGGGAATGATTGTGTTAAACGCCAAACTGAAGTCGACAAACAGCAAATGCACATGAGTATTTCTTTCCTCTAAGTGCTTCAGGCTCAGATGGAGAACGGAAGAAATAGCATCCTCCATAGAGCGATTTGGTTGGTAGGCAAACTGAAGCGGGTCAAAAGCTGGCGGGAGGCTAGATACAATAGTGTCCTTTATCAGCTTCTCAAAGCATTTCATGATGGTGAATGTCAGTGCAACCGGACGGTAATCATTGAGGCCTGTAATTGTGGACATTTTTGGCACTGGCAAGATGATGGCCATCTTAAAACATGATGGGACCACTGCCTGCTGCAATGAGAGGTTGAAAATATCTGTGAGAACACAAGCCAGCTCTCCTGCACATTCCCTGAGGACACGTCCAGGGATGTTATCTGGGCCTGCTGCTTTCCGAATGTTAACTGTCTGCAGTGTATTCCGGACAGAGGTGACATCAAAGCTTGGCACTTGCTCATCAGGATGGGGCACGACGTTCCTAGTAGGAGTGCTATTTGATGCCTCAAATCTACCAAAAAATGCATTCAGTTTGTTTAGGACACGGGTCGGCAACCCGCGGCTCCGGAGCTGCATGCGGCTCTTTGAGCCACCTCCTGTGGCTCCGGAGCCTGCTCCGCCATTTGCAGAGAGAGAGAGAGACAGAGACAGAGAGGCACTTGCACTTCCCTTCTCTCTCTCTCTCTCTCTCTCTCTCTCTCTCTCTCTCTCTCTCTCTCTCTCTCTCTCTCTCTCTCTCTCTCTCTCTCTCTCTCTCTCATGGGACTTGCCTCCTCACAGGGCTCCTGATTGGCCCTGCGCCTGGGTGCCTCACCCCCCAGGAGAAGGGCAGCCAGGAAATCCCTTTCCCAGGCTGGCTCAGTCCGAGGCGCACACGGCCGGGGAGCCGCGCGGGGAAGCCCCGGGATCCCCCCAGGGAGCGGCCCACCGAAGCCTCCGCTAGCATGGGAGGCTCCAGCATCGCTGGTGGACAGAGCTGACCGGTCGGCAGGCCATTGTAGTGGTTCCGGCCCAAAGACGCCAGCGGCGCAGAAGGTGGCCAGCTCGACTGCCCAGGGAGCGGCCCAGGGACGGCCTGGGGAACAATGCCATCGCTGGCTGCTGCCCCAGCCAGGACTCCACGCTGCCCAGGCTCGCCCTCTGCCCATGGGATGTAGCCACAGCACCGCTGGGGTGGCTAGTGCCACAACAGGCCTTCCCTGGACAACGGCGGTGGTGGCGAGCGCTGCTCTGGGGTTCCCCGGGCGGCATAGCAGAGGCGGCCGTGGGGGCGGCGGCGGTAGGCAGGATGCACAGTGTGTCGGGCAAAAGGCTTTCCAGGCTCTTGTTGGCCTGCTGGCAGCGCAGTGCCACCTGGGCGGCCATGACGCGCTGCCACTCTTGTGGCCCTTCAGCCATGAGAGCATGCCGTGGTTGCGGCAGCGCATGCACTTGGGCGTCTGCTGCAGGGGCACCTGGGCCGGCTGAGGCACCGGGCCACCCATGTACAGGTACGGGGAGCCGTAGCTGTTCATGGCGTCCTCTCACCGCAGCCACTAGATCCGCCTCACTCGCGCCAGGGCCATGCTCGTCCAAACGCGGTGGTGCTTCCCTGGCTTTCTTGGTGCCGAACCAGGCACTGAACTTGCCCTCAGCACATGTGCAAGTTGGCTGACGGCTCCCTCGCTTGCCTTCCCCACCTCTCAGGCCGGTCTGTGGTGCCCTGGGTGCCTTTTAGCGCCTTCTGCTGCCTCCTGCCCCCCTCCCCACCCCTTCGGCACTGGCCGTCCACTCGCCCCCCCCTCCCAGCTCAAGAGCGGAGGCCCTGACCGTCTTTTATGCTGGCCAGCCCGGCATTCACACGACAACGTGGGGCGGGACGGGCGAGAGAGACGCACCTTCCCAGCCCGGTGCAAACGCCTGCAGTCCAGGTGGGCATGGAGGTCGGGAGGGGGAGAGGCCGGCTGGATGCTCTTGCGAGGTCCCACTTGGCCCTGGTATTGCCTGCGCTATGCCAGCCGTCCCCAGTGCTGCTCAGCTGAGCGCCCACAGAGTCCGGATCATGCCGAGCGGAGGGGCTCAGCAGGGCATGGGGGGGCACAGAGGAGCTGCCCCCAAGTGCTAGGGCGGAGGAGGGGACCCCAGTCATTTGCCAGAGTCCCAGTATGTCTTGCTGGGCATGGACCTGATAAGTTTGTTCACCAGGGTCCTGACTGGAAGAGGGGAGGTTCTGGGCCGGGCTCGCTCTCTGTCTCTCTCTGAGCATGATTGCAAGCTCACTGCCTGCCCAGGGAGGGGAGAGCTTAATAGGGGCGCAGGGGAGGGCGCTCAGCCTGGCTGCTGCGCCTGGGCACCAGAGCTGCTACCCTCTTCATGGCAGCGGCATCGCCTTCCATGCTGGTCCCATCACAAGCTAGGCACGCTCCCGCACGCTCCCGGGAAGGATGGGAAAAGGGGTGGGCAGTGCCGGTGTTGGGGTGGGGGGAGCGAGTTGGGGGAGGAAGAAGGGATCCGTGGGGGTGGGGAGTGTGGGAGGAAGAGTCGGAATCCAAGATGCTCAAATCTGGGTGGGCTCCCAGCAAACGCGCGCTGAAGAAGTGAGGCGAGAAGGAAGAGAGGAAGAGAAACAGCGGGTGGCGGGGAAGCGCCCCATTTCTTCTTCTGGTGCAAACTCTGTGCTGAAGCCAGAATGGGGGGGATGAGGAGGAAGAGGAAGAGTGGCGATTGATGAACTGTGCCAGCCAATCTCTTTGGGGGAGGGGGCGCAGGATGGAGAGGGCAGCTTATCTTGGAAAGGGAGAGAGGGAGAGAAAGAGAGAGAGAGGGGAGAGAGGGAGAGGAGAGACAGACCCTTTTGACATCTAAAATGAAGATAATAGTGCATATATCCTTTTTTACCTTTATTGTATATATATATATATATATATATACATACATACACACACACACACACACTAAGGTAAAAAAGGATATATGCAGTGTTATCTTCATTTTAGATATCAAAAGGGTTTTGCGGCTCCCAGTGTTTTGTTTTCGGTTGGAAACGGATCCAAGTGGCTCTTTGAGTGTTTTGGGTTGCCTATCCCTGGTTTAGGAAGTCTGTGTCATCCTTGCATCTCGATGGAGCCACCTTGTAATCCGTAATGGCCTGGATCCCTTGCCACATTCGCCTGGTGTTTGTTGGGTCCTGAAAAAAGTTCTGAATTTTCTGGCAATGGACTTGCTTTGCACCTTTTATGGCACTTTTCAGATTTGTTTTGGCTGTTCTAAGTTCTAAGATTTGTTCATACTAAATGGATCTGCTACAGGAGACTTAAATGGGGAACTAATTCTATGAATTAATGGGGAATTACAAAGGAATAAATGCAGTTGATTATTTTAAGATTCCACAAATTTACGCTCATCACCTATTTCTCTGTAGGAAATCACTCAGGTAGTGATCATTTTCTAAAATTTGCTGTCTAAATCCTAAAGTAGCTATTAAATTTAGTTTTAGTTCACTGTTCCCCCCCCACACACACAAGAAGACATCCCATTAAAAGGCACCTCTCATTAAAAGGTTTGTGAATTTCCTTTTATATATATATATAGAATTGGAGAAGGGATTCTTATAGCCTTCACTGACCTGAAATCCTTGAGCCCTTTGTAGATTCCACTGTCTGTGTCTGATTTGGGAGTTGCAAGGAAGTCATTCAAAAAGATCCGTGCAAAAGACTTCTGCACCAGCTTACAGAATGGCGTGTGGAAGATCATGAACTGGAAATCTTCCAGAGTACAGAGCTTGCTTATCCCAGCTGCTCAAGTAAAATAATTTAAAGAATAAGAAATAGAAATAACTTGGCAAATACACCCCAAAAGAAGGGTGTTTTATAAAACAGATACAGAAAATCTCCTCCCCATCAGCCCTTCAAACTTCTTCTGTAGACCATGCTCCTCTCTGTAAGAAGCCCTTACCTCTGCAACCCATCACCTGCTGCATATCCATCAACATTTCCTGCAATTATGCATAATATTAAAAAAATTGAATTATTTACTATAAATAAACCCTTGCCTTTCCTCTTGAGCCACTAACTGAGGAGGGATGGTAGGGGGAAGGCGGGCTCTGGCACGTGCCCACCCCTCGCCGCATCATCCTGCATGACCCCCGGCCACTCGCCATCTCCCTTCCACAGCGCAACATCTGCTGGGGCGGCGGTGGGCCAGGGGCGCACAGAGGATGATGCGGAGTGGCAGCAACAAAGGGTGGGCACACACCAGAGCCCGCCTTCCCTCACTGCTGCCCCCAGCAGCACAAGGATGGGTGACACAGCTGTTGCTGACTGGGCCTGGCGATGCAGGGATTGCGGCTGCAACCTCCTGCCCAGCCCCATGCATTACCCAGGCACTGCTGCCCCATGAGGCTGGGCAGCCAGTGCGTGAGATCCGCTGCCTCATCTGGCTGCTAAGGTGGGGCTGGCTGTGGACAGTGGGCAGGTGAGGTGGCTCGAGACCCCCGGCCACCCTTCCTGCTTCCCTGCATCGCCAGCCAATTGAGGGGTACGGAGCAGCAGGATCAGCAGCAGTAGCTGCCCCTGTCAGAGCCACTGAGTGGACGAGGCCCAGGCCAGGCAAGGGCCCCCTTCTGGCTGTCCCCGGGCTGTCTCCACCTGCACCAATGGGGCTCCATGGCTGGTTCGCCATGATGCAGGACAGTGCCTCTTATGTTTTTGATTACAAGTGGTACCTTCCTTGACCACACGGTCTCCCTGAAAGCTATCAGTTCTAACATCGGAAACAGGCGGTTGGAGAAAAAATTATAGGTCACCATTTGATACCTGCCTTCTTCCTATGGAACCAAAGTTAGCGGGCGGGTGGCTGAAGAGAGGGATAGTCCAAGTTCTGCCTGCTTTATTATGGGGCAGGCTATTAACAGGCAGCCTGCTCCATTTCAATAAAAAAACCTTTTTAAATTTTTAATTTAATGGAGCGGGCTGCCTGTTAATAGATTGCTGCGTAATAAAGCAGGCAGAACTGCAACTGTCCCTCTCTTCAACCAGTCGCCCGCTAACTCACTGAGGCCCCATGTGGCCAGATGCATCCCAGCACGGCTGGTTTCCCTCCCCTCCCCCAGTCCCAGCCCTCCTGGCCTCGCATACTGTCCTTTTCCAGGGCATGACCCACTGCAGCACCTCCTTAGCTGTTGGCTGGCTGTCCAGCTCAGAGGCGGCTCCTCCAAACTGCTGGCAGCGGACAAGGCGGGGCTTGCTTTTCATTTTCTCCTCCGGATGGCTTCACTTGCCCACCCACCCTCTTCCCTTTCACTCCCCTTCCGAGCCCTCTTCAAAGCTCTTGCCCACACAGCCACCAAAGCGGCAGGTGGAGCGCTGGAGCTGGAAAGCATATTTCCTTTTCACATCTTAAGTACAACTTCCATGCAATACATACTTCTATAAAGAGATCAGCATATAAGAGGATGAGGAAAAATAGGGGAAAGCTTAGCTTTAACTTTCCAGACATACAGACCTTTTTGCCACTGGTTTTCAATTTTCTTTCGATATGTGGCATAGCACTGATCAAGAGCCTGGAAATAGCACTGAATGGAAAGTGGTCCATCTACTATAGGATACTCTGAAGCCAGGTCTGGTTTATAGAAGTCATAGACATGCTCCATGTGGGTTCCTCGGACACCTGAATAGGAAGATGATACCATAGACTTGATAATCTGTCATAGAAACATGATCTTCTTTATGCTACGACAATTGAAGTTGTGACAGACATTTAGTAATTAACTGAGTGATTTATATGGCTGGTCATCTCACTAAGCAATTTCCACTAAGCATATGATTCTTCCAAGAAGATTCTGATTTCTCCTGCTTATAAAATTGGAGAGCCCCTCAAGTGTGAATGATGTATTCAATGTGAATGATATTTATAACAATTAATGCAATAAATAACCCACATTGAGACTTTCATATCTCAATCTCACTTAATTTCAGATGCCTCCTTCCCTAAGGTCCTGGTGAGGGGCATGTTGCATTATTTCCCAATGCTTTCCTTTCCAAGGTCCATTCCCACAAACTGACACATACTGCTGCTATCTCCTCCATATGAATCTGTCTTCTATTGAATAAGATCATTCCACCATCTAGAATAAATATTGGGCTCAGTGAGAGTATGATACAATGTACTAAGGAAGTGGATTCCCAGAGGGACATTACAGAAGAGTAAGAAGCAGCTCACTCCAGACATTTTGTGTGTGAGAAAGATGGTGAAGACAGCCCCTCACTAATAGTTGACAGAATATATTGTAGATGCAGATAGTAGAATGCTTAGTCTGGCAACATTTTGTCTATAGATATGAAACAATAAAGAACTCAGCTGGGAAGAAACACCATATGTCTTTCTTGGTTTTGGGCCTGACTACTGGTGAATTAAAACAACCGCATCATCCTGACCAGAGAGAAGGCCAGTAGTCAGGTGGGTTACCTGTTTGGAGAAATATTTTATAACTTCTGAAAGGGATTGTGACCCCTCTAAAGTTCAAAATCTAGGGCACTTCCTGAATCTATTATTGTAATTAATTGATGGCCTATATAGCTTCTATAGTGAATTGTCAGCTTATAGTGGGGACCAGTTATCGTCTGTCCTGAATAAGCCACCCTTGCTCCGGAATCTTCTAGGATCACCTGCTATAATGAATTGCCCATGTTGTTGTTAATTGCGAAGTCGTGTCCGACCCATCGCGACCCCATGGACAACGTTCCTCCAGGTCTTCCTGTCCTCTACCATCTTCTGGAGTTCATATAAGTTCACGCCTACTGCTTCAGTGACTCCATCCAGCCACCTCATTCTCTGTAGTCCCCTTCTTCTATTGCCCTCAATCTTTCCCAGCATTAAGCCCTTCTCCACTGAGTCCTTCCTTCTCATTAGGTGGCCAAAGTATTTGAGTTTCAACTTCAGGATCTGGCCTTCTAAAGAGCAGTCTGGCCTTCTAAAGAATTGCCCATAGTGATGCTATTAAAGATGGATAAAAACTTCAGTTGATTAAAACAAAAACTGAGTTAAGTTACTGTAATTAAATATAGTATGTTCTGATTATTTGATTACATATCTCACCATCACTGAAAAATGATCAGTTTTTGAGTATAAAAACTGATGATTCTTCCCTTTAAAGTTCTACCTGGGCTTAGAAGCCCATCCTGGTAACACTGGTTATAACAATTTTATAACAAGGATTTAATGGTTGTTCTAAGCAGACTTTTCCATGCAGAATTCAAAAATGAAATCAATATTTTTTTTTATCAGGCTTAGTTTTGCTGTGGCTTCATGTTCATTTTACTCAGTTTATTTTTAAAAAAATATATTTTATTGATTTTTTACAATAAAAATCTTTTTTTTAAATATATTTTATTAATTTTTTACAATAACAATCTTTAGTGCTTCATGAACAGTGTGTTGTCTGGGTTCATATATTTAAAACAATCAATAATAATTTCTACAATTAATCAATGTTAATAATATACTTCTTGATCCTCTCTTCTTTCTATAATATTCTCCTTTTGTCTACATTAAATAAATATAATTCTTAATATTTTCAGTACAAACCAAGTTGAATATAAACTTTTTTTTAGTATTTATGCATATAATAATATCAACATATAACATGTTTTTAATCAGCTTATTTTCATTCTATTTATAAAAAATCATCTTATTAAATCATTATATGTCCTGTTTTCAAGATTCTTATTGAAGCTTAATTTCCCCTCAGTATTCAAACCACTCTTATCAGTCATATCAGTGTGTGTGTGTGTTATTGGGGACAAAAAAGACAAAGCAAGTAAAATATCAGGTTTTTGTCTCCCACATTTTTGTCTCCCATGTTTTTTTGTCTCCCACTTTCATCTGACAGCCCTTTAATCCATTTTATTTGTTCTTTTTTATCCTCATATTTGTTTTGAGGTTCTGGAGGATAAGTTATCTTTATTATAGTAAGGTTTTCAGATTTTTTTTTTGTATTAAATTGTAGTTTTCTTCATTTGTATCTTTTCTATTTAATTTATTTTAAATTTCATTTAATTTATATTCTGTTGTCTGATTTGTTTATTCATTCTTTGTTGTCATTTTTTGAGTTTCATTTAGTTGTAGGTTTAAGTTAGAGATATGTTCGTTTATATTGTCAAACTGATTTCTAATCTCATCATGGTTTGAAACAATTATCGTTTGAATCTGTCGCAGCATTGTGTATATTTTCTCCTGGAATGTATTATTGTCTTGAGTCATTGTTCCTGCAGATCTTTGTAGCTCCAAACTGGGTTCTTCAGGAAGAGGTGTTAAGTATGGTTTTATATTACTTTTAGATAAGTATATAATATCCATTTTATCTCTCCCCTCTAAGTAGTTTACCATCGGTGTCATAGTCTTTTTAATTAGTTTTATCAAGCCAATCCATCTTAAAATCCAAACAGCCAAATCTTATGTAGTTCTTGTCTTTATATAATAGTTTTATAATCCAGTACATTTCCAATTTTCAAGGCACCACTGAAAACAATATTTTGTGGCAGTTTTTTTTTCAGGGGTCTTATAATTATCGGCCAGTCAGGATTCAGTTCAAAGTATTTGACATTTTCCAGTAATTTCTCCTTTAGAAGATTAGCCAAAAACCAAAATTTTTCTTTCTTTGCAAACAGTTCTTAGGTTAAAATTTAAGAATGCAGTTCAGTGTGTTTATAATCCCAAAAGGTCAGCAGTTTCTAAACATATGTAGTTTCACTCAGTAGTAGATAACTCAATGCTTTGTTCCCAGCTGTTTTTTTGCTGTTTCTAGGCGTCTTACCAAATTCTAGGTCAGTGCTGCTATAGTTTTCTCTAATCCCCCACTAAATGTCACTGTTCATTTTTCAACTTTTTTTGTTCTTCTTTTTTGTTCTTCTTTTTTATATATATAATTTCATCAATGCTTTTTCAGATATACAGTTTTAACAATTTTCTTAGCTTTCAAATTTATCCAAACTGTGGTAATGTTTATTCCCCAAAGAGTTTAATTCACCGCTTCTGTCTATAGGAGGGTGAGGCAATCCCCCCCCCTTCTCACTTTGGGAGACTTTTTGCTTCTTGGGGATCTTTTCCAGAAAATTAGGTATAAGATAGGAGAGAGAAGATCAAATTCCTCACCCAGTTTCAAGCACGCTGTTCACTGTTGTGCTGGTTAGTGCCTTTGGACTTCTGCTGCAAGTAGCTTGGGCTGGTCAGTGAGGTGTGGCCAGCCTTTCTCCTGTCGGGTTAGAAGGCTTTCCCCAAACCAAAGGAAAAGACTGCTGTTGTTCCAGAGTCGTTGGGGCACCCTTCTTTCTTTGCCGCCTCTCCAGGGCAACTTAGACCCATTTAGGGTCCCTTGGCAGGGCAAAACTAGCCGCGGAGTATGGAGGTCTGCGATCCCACAACCGGTGCTATGGTGCAAGATTGGAAGTCTACAATAGCAATTTTTAGTGCTTGGTAAACAACATGTTGTCTGGGTTCCTATATTTAACAACAATCAATAATAATTACTTTCTATGATTTCATAATCAACATACTAATTAGAAATACATTTCCTTGATCTTCTCTTCTTCCAATAGTATTCTCCTTTTACCAACATTGAGCAAATATTGTTCTTAGTACTTTCGATACATACAAAGTTGAATATAAACATTTTTCTCATATTTATACAAATAACAATAACATCAGTGTGTGTCGTCTTTTCTAATCAGCTTATGTTACAGTTGCATTTGCAAAACATCATCTTATGTAAATCACTATAGGTCCTGTTTTCAGAATTCTTATTTAAGCTTAATTTCCCCTCAGTATTCAAAACATTTCTTGTCAGTTATAATTTTCTCAAAATTGATTACATTTAAATATCCAAAACATTTCGTTCACTTAAACCATCCCAATACTTTTACCTTTCCCATTTCATAAAAAATAGTATACTACTTATAAATCACATCTCTCTTACTATAGGACCCATTCATATCCAAAATTTAACTATTCTTTTAACCATATTCAAACAAGTGTTTAGTCATATAGTACTTCATCTGGTAGGTCAAATCATCTCTCTTAAGTCTGGCTCTCACCTTCTTCATTTGCCAAGCAGCACTGCCAAGTCAGTGTGTTCAGCTTGCCAGAGGATTCTTCCTATATTTTTATGAGTGTTGTTAAGAAGAGAAAGACAAATTGAGTAAAGCGCTTTTGAGGGGGAGTTTTGCCCATTTATATTCATTAAGAAGCTTCCACTTTCTTTCTCCCTCGATTTCTCTTTTCATTTTTTGTCTCCCAAACTCTAGTGGTTCTCCTGACAGCTCTATAATCCATTTTATCAGATCTTCTTTCTTATCCTTAGGTTTGTTTTGAAGTCCTGAAAAATACAATGTCTTTTCCATTTCCAATATTATAGCAGAGTCTTGCAGATTTTTCTTTGTCTATGTTAAGCTGTAATTTTCTTCATTTGTAGCCTCTATCTTTGGGTCATTTTCCTCTGGTTTTTGTTCTATTGTCTGATTTATTTTTTCATTTTTGTCATCATTTTCTGAGAGTTTTTAAGTGTGAGCTTAGATCAAGAATGTGCTCATTTATATCATCAAAATTATTTTTAATCTCATCATGATTTGAAACAATTGTCATTTGAATTAGTTGCAACATAGCATGCATTTCCT